GCCTAATAAGGAATTGGTGTTTATACTTTTATTTCCTGTTCTTATAACTTTGATTCATTTATTCTAAGGAGACACAGAGGCTGTACACAACTATAAAGAGAACCGTTTGCTTTTGGATTGTGCTATTATTGTTTGATATTTTTGTTAGGATGGATGCTAAGAAAGCAACTTTGTTCTTATTTGTTGGCAGTCATGGGACCTTCAGTTTTTATTCCTATCTGAGGGACTAGGATATGGAGGATTGATACCTTGAAATAGAGTACTACATTCCTGACTGGGTTTTGAACCTGGGATCTGCTGTTCCACAGATCATTGTGCCAAACTAAACCACTGGGCCTTCTGGGCCATTGTAAATAATATAAAGTATATTTTCAAAGTGATTTGGCAAAATTGCATGATAACAACAAAAAAACATATCCTGTCGATCAAATTGTGCATGATGCCATCGTAATTCACTATAGAAGACAGATTTTGAATTTTAAAGTAAAGAAAAGAAATAGATAGGGGTCTGAAATTGCTGAAGAACGCAATATTTAATTTTAATTTAATACGCTGACTGTTTATTTAATTTCACCATATTTATTACATTCATATTGCAACAGTGATAAATAAGCATTTATAACATCAAGTTAAGTTCTCAACTCATAAGATGAATTTATTTCATCGTATATTGGCATTATGTGCTTGTAACAATATTTTCACCTGTACTGACGTGTGTACTTATTTCATTGGGCTCTAATGCTGATTTTTCTTAAGATGTAATTAATTCTACTTGTCAGGCTATGTTTTATATTTATATTAATACTTATTCTTTGTGACAGGATATTTCTAAATATTATGAAATATGCTGTCAAGCCTTTCTGTAAAATTCTATTCATGGACAGTTGCTTTCACTTTTTTGTTAGCTTTAATTGCATTTTTCAATGTTAATGGTCAACAAGGACATGAAGACACAAATATCACAAAGTAATACTGACCTTCTTTTCATAACAACAAGGTCATGATTATTTCGCAGTGAAAAATGATGAAAATAATGAAAGTTATAAATGTTTAACAAAACCACAAAGATATTTATGGTTTTTTGTAAGCGTCACTGTGCGACACCCTCTAACATTTAAATGTTTGGAATGGTATATGGAGCCGATTCATTACCTTGTGACAATTTACATTCACCTACAATTTAATTCAATTATAATAATATAGTTGGGAGAATTCAAAAATCGATGAGATCGGTTTTTTCCCAATTTTTATCATTAGTAATGGTTTTCGCTCAAACTTTCAGATTATCTTTAAATGTACATCAAGCATTGAAGTCACTACCTTAGCACCATTTTCTCTCATCTGAACAATGTTAACAAGTACCTTTAAGGGAAAAAAGTATTTGTCATGCCTTGCAGATTTTCTAAAGAGGCTAGCTGAGTTACTTAGTGTATTACGAGAGGAGAGCTATCAAAACTAAAGTCATACATTTTCATATGTTACAACTTTACACCTTTTTCTGAATTAACTTTGAACAAATTAGAAATCGTAATCCAAGTATCTACCTTTTTTTCTTTCATTTCTTTTTTTAGTGGTCAAGATTTCGCTAATTATTTCCTCTTGTTTGGCTTCCAATCAAAGCATTTTTCATGTATTTAAATTGTCTCATTTATCATTAGTTACAGTACTAGTTCATTTATTATTGTTATATAGACTTCTTCATACCTTGGTCTTTCTTAATATTGTATTATTGTGAAACGTTTTCAACTACATGTTCTTCCAAGTTAGGTGTATTCAAATTTCTTTACATACCAAATATGTATTATTATATTTATTTGTAAATTCTAACTTCACTTTCATCTGTGCTGTAGATGTGAATAACTGGTGTTTGGAATGTGAATGTAATGTGCATGCCTTCTTGTGGGAGCCTTATCAATTTAGGAAGATTTAAAATATTGTGCAGAGGCAAGTGCTTCCAGTTAAACAACACTTTCTGTACTTCTGTATTTTTATGAAAACTTAAAATACATGACACATTCTGCATTTTAAAGAACACATCTGCTTATTCATCTTTTTGTCTGGGTCTCTCCCTCTCTCTCTCTCTCTCTTTCTCTCTCTTTATCTCTGTGCCTTTTCTCTTTTTGTCTCTTGATATTTTACACTGGTTTGTAACATTTTGTTAGTGTGTATTAATTTTGTGAAAATATTTTACTCTGGTACCATGTTGTATTAATCAAGAGGCTGTTCAGATCTTTCCAGCTATTCAGCATTATTAAGTTACCATGTGTGCAAATCAAAATATTGAAAAAATATATCAATAAAACATCTTAAGAAGATCAGTGAAATTCACTGCAAAAGTATTTCATTGTTTTTATGTGTATTTGTTCTTCTGCCAAAGCTCCACCCACATAAATATATTGGTGCACTTCAACAAGCTAAAATTTCTGTCTTTGCTTTTCTCTCCCATTTGCTTGAAGTTTATTACATTTTTGAAGTGATTCTGTAGGCACAGAAGATGGACTTAAATAAATCTGTTTTTCATCTTTTCAGACTTTTTTCCTCATCTCTTCTTTCTCCCCATCTCTTATCAAACTCTCCCTTGATCACACCGTTTTTTTAACCCTCTTTTAAAAGGAAATTTTCCTCATATTCTTTCTACCAAGTAAGTAATTTTCCACAAAATAATTTCTCACATTTTTGTTATATTCCTAGCCAGATTTTAAACATACAGATGATTCCTCATTGCCTATGTGTTGTTTACCCCTAATTTCCCAAACCTCATTCTATACCTCACATACTAGACTCACTGTCGGCTCTATTACAGCAATCATTCATTAGAACACAATCAAAAGAGACATCAAGTATGTTTGTTTACTTTAATACAATATGAGACCACATACATACATTGTACAAGCACTATCTGGTGAATAAGATATTTTTGTCTGTAACTTTGTGAAAGTTGAAGTGCATTTACCACATGAACAATGCATTTTGTTCCTGATATGATATGCCATGGATTTATAAAATGTGGTAATGCAAAAACTGCTTGCATTACAATTCCACTAGTCTGTTGTAAAAACAAACTTATTTGTATATATGATAACAATCTTTGCTCACCTATTCCACACCATATGGTCACATAATAGTTGTCTTGTGATTGCCTTTTTGCTTCAACCAAGGTGGTATACAATAACTTTTCAACTAATATGAATTACAAAAAGAAAACTTTCATATACTGAAAAAACAAACATAAAATAAGCAAAAGAAATGTACAAACATTCAATAATACGTTATTTCTGTCATGAAATGGTAAATACCATAGATTGCACCTCCATAAGAAATACTACAAAACATCTAATCAATCTAGTGTCATAATGAAGAAAAAAACACAAAACATGTGACCATTTCTATACTAGTACACTGCATAAAATCTTTGTCATTAAATTTACAAGCATAAGGAATGTAATTGTTAAAGGGAAGTCAACCCAAGCATCCAGTTGGCTTTGATAAAATCAAGGGGGCAGGGTTTCAATGAAAGTTTGCAGAAAATCTGATAATGGAAAGGCATGATATTTTGAATTCACTGATCTGTTTCTCATGTTTTCTGTTTTATTGTGGTAATAAAACTAAGCTGACATGAAGGTTCACTTCCATTTCAATCTGCACAAAAACGGGAACAATTAAATGTACATATAAAGGGGCGATGGCAAATATGTATGCAATACCTGCCATGGAGAGGGAGGGGGATACATGAAATATATATGGTACTGAGACATATATTTGTATACAATCCTCCATTTACTCTGGAGAATAAATACATGTCAAAAGATGGCCCCTACAAAATAACTTTTTCTAATGTAGTGTATCACAATTTTCTTTCAAAGTCTTTTCAACAAAGTCAAATTCTTAATTTATTAAAACAGTCCCAAGTAATATTAAGCCAAAAGACAGACACTAAGTAAAATGTGTAGCTCTATGAATATATGTTGGCCGACATACAAATAAAAAAATATACATATATGTTGGCCGAACTTTGCCAATCTAAGTGACCTGCTGACCCATTACACTGGGATTGCAATTTGGCAATATCTAAATCTAGAGCAAAAATGTGCATACTTATGAAACTTCATCTATTTGAGAACAATTTCTAGTACATATCATCCATAACGTTATTTCCAAACATTTCTTTTGCATTGCTGGATCTACACATATACATATACTCCACAATCCACATGAAACATAAAATCCTAATATACATATACTTGGCTTCATAAAAATGGCCATAGCTGCAAGAATAACTCATCTAAATATAATTTCACTTTGAATAATTACAATATCCACAATATTTCAAGGTGATGTTGACAAATTTAAATACGATGCGAGTACAAAGTAACAATTATAGTACTAAAAGTTTGTGATGAAAACAATTAACATAATTTCAACATAACTAGATAGTAAAGGGAATGGCAAATACAGCTAATATTCATACCAATGCAGAAGCATAATATAGTTGCTATCTATCAGTATTTATACAGCGCATACAATTTTTCACTCAAAGCACAAAACAAACGGCTAAATTCTTGGTATGCTTCTGAATCCCAAGAATATAATAATGAAATAATGAGCATAAAGGCACAAAACTATAATTCCTTCAACCATATTTCATATCTTGTACATGGTTTTTCTTTTTTGTAGATTTTGGATTATCAGGGATACCAGTTGGTTTCACCCCAATGGGCCTGCCGAAAAGAGACTGGCATGTTGAAGTCCAAAAAATGTGCTGTAAACTATGATGCTTGAAAAAAGCCTGAAATCAGGTTATGGTATTAAAATGGCGTCCCTCCATCATATACATTTAGCCTTCAATATATAACAGTTAATGATTAGTATATCAATAATATTCAACATTATCTGAAAAGATTCTCTAGTAGTTTAACTCTTTAATCTGCTAGTGGCAAGTTCTTTGATCTGACTGAAATAGTACAATGTGCTCGCTGAATGATTATCATTTGATGTAATATGCCACTAATGTTACAGAACATTACAGAATATAAATTCAACGGATTTCACAATTTTAAATACCATATTCTTTAAAATTACCTGATATGAAAATAACAAGTCTTACACTATGCTTATACAGCACACTGAGGGATGAACTTTAGACATTGTCAATACAGTACATTCAATCACATAAGATCACATTATTGGGACTACACGGTTTGGAGCCTTTCACTTCTAAGCACTCAGGTAACCTTTAACCTCAACTAATCTTTACCTGGCATAAGGCATACAAGAAATGTACACTTATTTGTTCGCATCATGCTTCTAAACAATTTGCTGAGGTTATTGGCAAGAGCTTGCAAGTATGTATTCCTTTACATACTTAAAGGGCAATCCAACTCTTGTAATAATTTAATTTGAATGATAGATGAGTTCTGGTAAGGACAAATACACTGGAATGATCGAAACATGATGAATCCATTCATAGTTTTGTTTCACACAATGAAAACAGTAATGTGCAACATAATTGTACAAAAAATACAAGATGTTCACATTTTGTGCAGACTTCAAGCTAATCAATGCTTACTGTGATTCTTCCAATAGCCATTTGAGTTGCTCAGTGAGCTAAGCAAATCAATGATTGTCACAACTTCAGGCTCTATGTACAATACACTAGGATGAACAACTCATTCACTGTAAATGTACACGCCATACATGAATTCAAATCAGCACAAGACAAGCAACCCACTGGACTAATTACCTGAAATCACATGTTTCATTTACTTTAAGTTTGTGCCAAATCTGAGTTGTCTTGAGACGCCTAACAAACAGAACACGTTTCCAAATGGGATTCTTGTTTTTATATGAAGTTAAGATTTGATAGAATGCTCATCATCACAATTTTTCTCTTACCAGAACCCGACCACCACTTTATAAGACTCTTTTTTTTGCATCAACCCTGTTCAGTAAACCTCTAAACTCACCAACCCTTAATCTACTCAAATATAAACCAGGCACTGGTCTTGAGCTTTTGTTCAAAATCAGGTTTAGCAAAAGAGATTATTCTAAGGTCAAAATTTCTTTCGTTAAATGTGATCTTAGACACAGGATCAAGTTTTAAATAAATTAGGAGAATACAGATTAAAACGACATCATCTATCATGTATGATGACCTTTAACCTTTAGTGAAACACACAACCTCCGGCGCATCGTATCCGCTCACGCAGAAGGAATGGCCTTCCTTGTCAAGGAATTTAGCTCCGCATAGCTGTACGTCGGTGATGCATTCTTGGTGCGCAAGTGATACCTTAATGTACAATTCAAAAAGAGAAATTGAGGGTAAGTATTTAAGACAAATTACAACAGCATGGATACGAGGGCCCCGTCTCATGAAGTTTTGATACAGTCAAACCTGCTTTAGTGACCATCTGTCTACAACAAACACATTTTTTGTTTCCCTTGAAAATGGTTTTTCATTGAAACAAGTACTCAAGGAACCTGTCTACAAAGATCAATTTTTGTGTTTCCCTTGGGCGGTAGCTGTAGACAGGTTTGACTGTATTAATCGCAACTATGTACATAATAGATGAAGACTGCAAACTTGCGATTGATTGGAGGACTTGGATTGATCCAAATCAATCCCCACTCTTTATAAGACGGGGCCATGGAGTATGGATACCAGAGGATGGGCAGAGGGGGAGGGGATGAAACAGGAGGCAAGTCTTTCAACCATAGAGCACTTCAATTATGCATTCTAATTTAATGAGATGAGGTGATCCAGGTCATTTTTAGGTTGACTACTTGACTGAAACCTGTGCAGCTAAGCAGCACCCTAATGTCTCCAAAAAATCACTTTAACAGTAAAGCGCGGGTCCATTATTTGGATACCTATTTGTGATGACATCTAAAACTCTCACAAAGCATAGGGGAAATGTACATGATGCCTACCAGATTCAAGGCAAATGATGTATTCATTTATGTTACAATTTCATATTGACACTCACTTGGCCTTTAGCCGTTATAGGTGTTACTATCTAGAGGATAAGTCACCAGACTGTGGATCACATGGTCAGAGGTTAAACTTCAAACTTCAGAACTCTATACCACTTGGCAAGACAATAATCTACCTTTACCATTTTCTAATGCAGCTGTAATGAATGGTACCTGGTAGCAATTTTAATTTTTTTTTAAAATAATAATTTCAGTGCCTTCTGGCAGCTTGGCTATAGTCGCCAAGGTAGTACTACTACCTTGAAAGTGCCTTGAGCATCCAGTGGTAGGGAAATGCGTGCACTTCCAATTCAACTTCATATTACTCAATTTGTAACAGGACCAAACTTTGTAGCAGCTACTATGACAGGGACACCCAAAGCCCCACTGCACTACTTATAGCTACTTGCGCCCTCTATATAGCAAACAATGCCTAATCGGTGACCATTGGTCCTTCGTAATCCTCTTTTTCTTATGTTAATGGAGAGCTGATTTGATGAGATAACCACCTGTCCAGTGACCTTGCAGGGTGGTCTAATCGCTCCTGTAAACTAGTACAGATGAGCTTTAATAAACAGTGAAACACACAAACAAACAAAAATGTTGGGTTATTGGAGAATGTGTTTACCTTTGCTTGGTTGTCATCAGCTTTCAATGACCATACTCTCAACATGGTGTCTTCGGATGTGGACAATAACTGGAAAACAAAATCAAAAGGTACAAAAGTTCTTAAAAACCTGGAAAAGCACATTTATATTTAAAAAAAAGTCATTGATCTTATGAATACATGCAACATTAGCAAGCTAGCTTCCACTTTCAGGATTCATTAATACAGCAATAATGTGATCTGAAATAATTAAAGGGCTTTATCACACTTTCCAGGGGGGGGGGGGGGTGAGCTTTAACGAAAAATAATGTAGATTTCAAGTTAATTCAAATTCCTTAAAGGTGAAATTCAAAGAAAATCACAAATATGTCAACTAATGTATCACTAGAAACTGGTAAGCTAACAGATGGCCATCGTACAAGTTTGAGGTCAGCTACATATCGGGTGATTTATAAAAATAAAAATACAACCACCTCCATAGCAGCTGGGATATACGAGAGATTCGCCAGAAAAATAACGATGTTTTAATGACGTCACAACAGGGACCAATACTGCCCAAGCAGACGACATCCCATAAAGAATGAACATAATTGCAAAGATATTATTTGTCAAATTATAATGAGTTTAGTGTATATAAATGTACTGGCACGTCAAACCGATCAAAAGGGGACATGACCCGATTCTGATAACTAAAATCTTTTGCTTGTAAATACACAGGATAGGGGTTAATTAACAATCAAAGAAACCAGACTTTCAAATTGAAAAGCCCCCGGATTAATATTAAGGACGGCATTTGTTCCCTCTTAAAACGCCGAACATACCGCGGTGTCTGCAGCTGAATATACAATGGCGTCTTATTTTGTTTACAAGCGACAGATTCCTTTATTTTTGTATCGCTGCATTTGTCATCAAAATAAAAGCATGCGCGGGGTATAGAGTGAGGCAATATATTATACATTTAGCCTGACGGTAGTGAAATAAGAGAAAGAACTCAAGAGAAGATGAAAACACAGGCACTGAAAATGTGTGAGATGTCATGGGACATCGTCTGCTTGTGCAAATCATGTCCCTGCTGTGATCTCACACATCTCAGCAGCGTTCGGAGAGCTATTCAGGTGCTATGCCGGGGCTGTATTTAAGCGTTTTGTAATTTATAATAATCATTACTTCGAATGTTTCCAAGCATTGAATTTTGATAACCTTGTCGAATCAAAGTTTCAACTTTGCAATAATGAAAATAAAGCTAGATTTAAAATCAATGAATATCTACTTTAACATCATTTCACATTCATTTGTAAATCTTTTTACATGTTTAATTGCCTACTTTTCATTATTGGCAGATTTCAATTTCAAATATACTTTCATTTAATAAATACATGAAATTTTGACAAAAAAATCTGATCATAAAAACACTATATTCCTCCCACTTCAGATATCTTATTAAATATTTTTGTATTTTGAAGATTATATAATTTCAGTGTTTTTATCTTGAGGTGGAAATAAATAAATGAAATGAAATGAAATTACTGACCAGGCCAACAGAGGGGGCTAGATCCATAGCATGAATCCACTTGGCGTGTGCACATATTTCAGTCATGAGGTTTCCCTTCTGTGTATCAAAGAAACGAATATGACCGGTCCCATAGCCTCCTATTACCAGGTTCTTATACAGGCACAGAGATGAACATGTAGCCCTGCAAAGCAAAATAAACAAAGAAACACAATTATTTGAAGCTCATACCGGTATTCTGAACACCGGTATAGTAATGCAACATGGATCTACTAATGGACAAAACAAAATTACATTTTGGGTTGATTGGTACTCTGGATATGTGGATATGAAACTTTTAGGTCTTATACCCGTATTCATTACAAAATGCTGGGTCTCTATGCTACGTTTCACAATCCTCATAAATTTCTATCATACTCGGTCTCAGTAGGCCTGTTTTCATCAGCTCAAGTTTACATTATCCCGAAGCTCGAAATTGCGTCTTCACCAGACCGAAACGCTCATCACAAACTTGCTCAGACGAGCACAAATTAGCCAACTATTTCCCAAATAGCGGGATATTTTCAAAACAAGACCAAGATTTCTCAGGATATTTTCTCGACCAAATATACCACCAATTGCAACTGCGGGCTGATGAAAACGCAAATTAGCTGGATAATTTGCGATCGGGATAGTTCAAATAGCAGGTTATTTGGCAAACTCTAGCTTGTGAACTGATGAAAACAGGCCCATTAGGGTTTATAGTATTTATTCAAGTGATATTAGAGAAACTGACCCTCCGCCGTTGATCCTGGTCAACTGATAGAACTTAGGTCCAGCCTGCCAGACCATGATGCAACCACTATCATCACCGCTAGCCATTAAGTCCCCTGCACCGGCTACTGCGCTGATGGGATAAGAGTGACCGCTCAGTGTCTCACTTAGCTGGACATTGGTTCCTCGAGATGGGATGGAAAATACCAGTACAGAACCAGTGGATGTACCTAAAGATGAATTTTAAAATATAAAGAGTACAAAGGATTTACATGATTAAAATGATAATGAAACAAAAAGACTACAAAAATACAAAATTTCTATCATTACTAGTAATAATACTACTATTACAACTTGTATTACTGTTACTATACTACTACTATACTTATACAACTACATGTACTACGACTAATACAACAACTACTACTACTACTACTACTACTACTACTACTACTACCACTACCACTGCTACTACTACTACTACGAACACTAAACTAGACACAACGTGATTGTACTGTTACTACATGAAAGAATTAAATCATTTTATTTTAATATTTTCAATGGTTACTCTTTTCTATATCAATGCATTATATGTTCTGCATGACAGGAAGTTCTCATATTCAATGTACATATTAATTTTACAGTGTTCTGTCAAATTCATCCCAAAAGAACTCAAAAGGTAAAGAAAGGGAAAATACAAATACGGTAATTAAGCAAGACATGCATCAAATAGACGAAACACTGTTCATACATGTGAGCCCATGCCACAAAGTTGAAATGGTAAAACATAGAAAGTGAGGTATACAGAGGTAAACAGGAGAACATAATGTGCAGTATAGGACTAGGGTCATATCTTTAAATTATTTTCTTTGCTACCATCATACGTTTCTTAGTTACCGTACATTTATTAAAAGGTAACTACGTATAGAACCCGCCATCTGCAGTGGAAGCAGCTGCTGTGATAGAAGTAGTGGTAGAGACCGAAGTAGTAATAGTAGTAGTCATGGTGGTAGTGTTACGAGTAGGGTATTCAATTCCAATAGTCTATGTCTGTTTTATACTTTCCTCTCTTTTGTAACAATTTGTCTTTAAAATCTTTATATTCCTCCACCTCTATCAAAGTAACTGGAATTCAATTTTTTTTTTGAGGGGGGGGGGGGAGGGGTAGATTGAAAATGTTACAGTCAGTAAGCCGGGTTAAGCCCCCAACAAAAGTTGTGAAATCGAGGGGTCTTAAGTTAGAATTTGGCAACCCATGTGTCATGGGTGCCTCTCAGTTAAGGCCATAAGTTTAGGGATCCTAAGAAATAAAACAAACCTGCAAAACATACAAATACACTGGTACGATCCTACAAAACCTATCTCCTGTAGGTGTTTTGATAACAAAAAAACAATATACGGTAAATAAAATGGTGTGCAAAAAGTATAACTGCAATCCGTGCTGACAAAAATTGTTCTCAGTAGTCACAAATACCGAACCTGGCGATTCGGGATCACGAACGAATGCAGCCCCTGAACGCAGTTAATTGAGTGGAAGGAAGAAAATTCCATTCAGATTGACTTGTGCTATTCTATTCACTGTGCAAACTTGTACTATATTCAAGACAAATTTTCCGGAATCTAAAAGTTTTGTTCCTAACAGTTCAAGGAGTATAATATATACGTTAATATCAATAATGTTCTCAATTTGACACATATCAAATAACAAGAGAATTAAAGCATAATTGCCTCGTCTTTAATAAATGAAATATATATGCAAAAATTATCAAATTTATCATTTTTTAGGTTTTGATATAAAATTTGTCCGGAGCATTACCGGTATAGGAATGCAAGTACAATGGCACCCCCTAAAGAATGGAGGGCAAGACATAAAAAGAACAATGAATTCTGTAAATTTACATTTTGCACACAAGAGTAGATGGTGTTTGAAAGTAATGTAGGAGAGAATCTAGGTAAATAAATCAAGTTGAACATGGTCTGTACCTTGTTTGCGAGCAACTACAACTACACCTACACCCAAGATAGTTTAGAATGTACATCATAGATTTGGGGGTTTTGGGGGTCCAGACAACTCGCCACAAAGACAACCCGCCCCAAGACAACCCGCCACAATACCCTGGACATCCCGCCACAATACCCTGGACAACCCGCCACAATACCCTGGACAACTCGCCACAGCCTTTTCGGACAACTCGCCACACTTTTTCCCATCATGATTTCTAGATCTAAAATGAAATGAAATTGTCATTTTTTCATGATTTTCGTGCTTTTATAAACACAGTCATTACAAAGAATAAAGAATAAAGTTGATTTCCCTAATTGTAACAATAATATATATTGAAATGAAATTGTCATTTTTCATGATTTTCGTGCTTTTATAAACAGTCATTAAAAAGAATAAAGTTGATTTCCCTTGTAACAATAATATACTTTTGATCTAGAGGTCTATAACAGCTGCATTTTTCTGTCCCAGAATTTTTTTATGGTAGGATACTGGAAGCACTGGCGTACTGATGGGGGGGGGGGGGGGGGGGGGGGCAGGTAATATTAGAATGTAAAGATACGCCAAAGATACATAGCAGCATATTCCTACCATCAAAAAGTTTCCTGAGACATGAACTTAAAAATCGTAGTCGTAACTCGTAGTCGTAGTACGCCTGGCTTGGGTTCGTCCAAAATAGATTCTTGTTGCAAGCGTAAGGAAAATCATCTTTATTCTTTAGAACAGCTCTCAAAATACTCACAATTTCCATGTTTCCTGTCATAACTGTGTTTATAAAAGCACGAAAATCATGAAAAATGACAATTTCATCTAAGATGAGGGATTTTAGATCTAGAAATCATGAGGGGAAAAAAGTGTGGCGAGTTGTCCGAAAAGGCTGTGGCGAGTTGTCCAGGGTATTGTGGCGGGTTGTCCAGGGTATTGTGGCGGGATGTCCAGGGTATTGTGGCGGGTTGTCTTGGGGCGGGTTGTCTTTGTGGCGAGTTGTCCGGGATTCATAGATTTGCATGCAAAAGTGTTATAAATCCACACTGATTATATCCATATTAAATCAATCATGAATACAAAAGCTACCTTCATGTATGTGAATCCTCTAAATAGTCAAACCTGCCTTTCAAATGACCACCTGTATATAAAGATCGCTATATTCTTTGTTTCCATTAAGAAGAAAAAAGTTTCTCATTGATACCTGTACAAAGGTACCTGAATAATGGGGGCATGTACATAAAGAGCTCCTGCTTTATATAAAGATCACCTTTTTTGCCTCCCTCGAGAGCGGTCTTTATATACAAGTTTTGCTGTATCAGTTTGTACATTTGCCCGGTACTGTACTACATAGATCTATCTCAAACAAATACAATCTAAATACTGTATCATCAACTATTAAAGCCCATCTGCACTAGTTTGGCCAGGGGGATTACCTCCCTGCCAGGTCACTGAAAGGTGGTTATCTCATCAAATCAGCTCTCAATTAACATAAGAAAAAGAGGATCATGGGGGACCAACAGGCACCGATTAGGCATTATTTGCTATATAGAGGGCGCAAGTAGCTATATGTATAAGTAGTACAGTGGGGCTTTAAAGAAGAGAGGAAGCTAGAACCTTACCAACTGCAATGAAGCTATCTAGCACAGATGCTATCCCTCTGGTAAATAGAAAGCCTGCAAAATAGCAAGAATAGTATAATGTATATGTATAGATACCATCATTAAAGGTTAAAGTTCTTCAGCTACAAAAGCTCCCACAATGGCCCAATGAATTTGGATATCAGCAGTCAAGTTTTTACAAACTTTCAAAATAGTCTATTTGGGCAAATAAGCAAATATATTAACCTTCAATTTAGCGAAATATATCAAATATAAGTCGACACTGCATAGTACATCATTATTTAGTTCCAATGTACATTTTTGATAAAAAAGAATACATAGCAATGAAATAATCACATTTAGCATATTGAAATGAAAACTTATTGATGTAGATTTCAGAAATTATTTTTTAGTTGCTATGTATTCGATGAGCTAGGTTTATGAATTAAAGATATTTTATGAAGTATATTTAATTTACCATCGTTGCCATCAGAGTTGAATAGAGCATGCCAAAAGACCAATGCTGAGCTATCTGGTTCAAACATCTAGAAGGATAAAAAATCAAACAAACAAACCATTAGTGAAACAGAAAATAGATTCAATACATTCAAATATACATGTATCTGCATGTACACACACTCCTTACCTATGATCATCAATTAATGATATTTCATTCCTTCTTTCCTGCGTTACACACGAGTCATGTACAGAATAATGTGCAATTGCCTAGATGCACTTCCAAAATTCTTTAGATTAGTTTCTCACTTTCTCTGCATCAGCCCATCTGCACTGAAAAGGCATTTATATTCAGACATACATGTACATGTACAAGCAAGTATTTAATTGAATACTTCAATTAAATACATCAGAAATATGAATATTTTGACCAACTTAATATTTTGCTCACATGTTCTTTTGTGCATGATCAATAAATATGAATTGAATTTAATTTAATTTAATTGATATTTAGGCCGAGATAAAATATTTAGCCAACTTGTACGTTTGGCTTAGTAAACAAAAATATGTTGATCTGTCATATAACAAAATTGTGATGGATGATCCTCTATAATTCGATCACACACATTTACAAACTCATTTTATTACATATTTTTTATTGATATCAATTATCAACTTGTGATTGATTTTATTTGAATCAATCACAACTTGTTGTTATATTAGACAGGACCCAACGTATTGGTTTATTGATAGTGTTTTCTCACCTGTACACCTTTCTGACAGCATACCACCATTAGAGTTCTTGATGGCAATTCACAGAATTTGGCCTGCAACATGCAAAAAGGAACAAACATATTGTCTAGAGTTTTGCCCAATTCGTCTAGTGGATCTGCTCAATCTAAGTTATACACATTGCTCAGGTTTAAACTCCAGAATAACTGAACCACTAAACATTCATGATAGCTAGAGGCCCGAGCATTTAATAGATCAAGATCTATTTGTTTCACCTACATTATTTTAACTACTTTCAATTGACATCAACATGAATATTGACATTCAAAAAATATTCCAAATATCTCTCACTTCGTTCTAGAAAATATATAAGTTTTCAAAATTATATGTCCTATAGATCTAATTGAACATTGTGAAATTGCATTTGTAATGAACAAAACTATTTTAATAAAGGTAGACCTAGTTTAGATCCCCTTTTTTTTTAATAAAAAAAAAAAAATCCTGAATTTCCTTTGGTCCAATCAATCATTTTCTTAACTTCATCTCATTAACCAGTTAACAATTAAGAAACATGTTGCATCTTTGCTTGAGCCAAAATAAAATATATTCAATCAACGATGAAGAATCGCTATTAAACCAACATCATCAATGTAGTCAATAGTCTTCCAAGTTCTCTAACAAAATTATTATAAATAATGACAAGTGTAACCTTTTTTGGGGGTGCGTGTGGCTTCAATTTAAAATTTGCTTGTGGAGTTGTGCCTCCGACTTTGTGGATCATAAGGCTATTGACTGTCTTGTAACATATATTTTAAACCTAGCTAGAGCCTAGATAAATAGAAGAGCAAGACAACATAAGTCAGATTGTCAGTCATTTGGTGAATCAAATGAGTATCAATTCAATGATAAGAAGATTCCATAACAAGATAAATCTACCTCAAGGATGGCTGCATTCTGAGTGACGCCTGCCACATCTTTGCAGTGCAGTTGTCGCTGTGTGACATTGGGGCTGACACCGCTCCCCGCTCCTTCGCTAGCACAGTTCGAGATATTCACCACCGCCTTGTGAACAACAGCGTAACATGTCACATTCCGCTCCGGCGAGCACAGAACAGAAAGATTGTTGTATCTCAACGACGCAGAGCTCTTCAAATGTACTGATTTTGATTTATGATACATGATGATTAAGGTGCAATTTCAGCTTTCCCAGGCTCAATAACAAGGGTCATTCATTCAGGAGCGTCCTGTAGTGAAGGCAATCGGGTCAAGAGGTGGTTATCTGTATTACGTCGCAGATGGCGACAGACACATTTCGGACACGGTGCGTGCCGATGGCAGACCCATGGACCTCGGGAAGTAAAGTTGCTCATGGCGGTCTGAAAATCGTCTCAGGCTTCCTAATATGGCAAATCTAAAGATACGCTGTAATACAAACAGGGCTAAATGTTTTTCCCGATTTCCCATTCTCTCCTGTTGTCCCCCCTTTTCTTTGTTTCCGTTTTGTATAAAATATATTTGTTGTTTTTCTTTCTCCCTCATTTATCTTTTTGATACAAAGTCCTCTCTTCCTTTTTGATAATCAATATAATCATCTGATAATAAACTATAAGTGGAGGACCCCCTCCCCATTGTTAAAAAAATACTTTATATTCTCTCTCTCTCTCTTTCTCTCCCTTTCTTTCCAATCTTTCCCTTCTTTCTCATAATTTATCACCGTTCATAATTCTCTTACCTTCATTTTCCTTCTTCTCTTTCACCTTCTAATCTACCTTTCTTTTCCCATCTTTCTTGATCCCTCTTTCCCTTTCCTTCTTTCTTTCTTATTTCCGATTCCTTCTCTTTATCCTCTATATCTCTCACTTTCTCTCTCTTTCCACTTGTCCCCATCCTTTTTTCTATGACACATCTCCTTCGTTGTTTAAGGAATAGATTTGTACAAACTTGGCAAACCCTAGTGGCAGAAAGAACTGTGTCTGCAATATCCTGTAAGGACAGGCCCGAGCAGGATTATACACGCATGTCATATCTATAATCATCCATATACATAGCTACGAGTCCTTTAGCCTAGATCAGGCTAGCCAATAGCAAACAGTTGCCAGATAAAGATGAACCACAGCATTAGAGTACTACAAAAATACTACATCTCTAACAGACACTGCTTTTAGAGCCACCAGAATTCATAAGTATTGAAATATAAACACCAAAGACATATCTATACAGAATCATAATTGTTTATGTTTTAATACAAAATATATTTCATTTCATAGTAGTTCTCATTTTCAACAAGCTACTACATGTACATTCATTATTGAACTTTGTGCTTGAATATTGTGCTTCTCCCACAAAGAAAATTAAAGAATCCATATATTCACGTCTCAGTCAAATATTCATGTAATAATGTTGAGTGAAACATATTTAAATGAACTAATCAATGATAATGGAAATGCATGTAATGTTTATTCATTTATATGTAAAGAAAGAAACATAACAGAGGGAGGTGTTGCAGTATATATGAGAAATTATATCAATTACATGTTTAGAAACAACTTAATGGATGATCAGTCGGAAACAAATGCTGATTATTGAAATCAAGTGTACAAATGTAAAAACCATTGCTGATTGTTATCTGGTATAGACTCCCTAATGCCAATTGTTTGAATCAGCTCTTTAAAGAACAGAAGATTTAGCCTATGAATGTAGCCTGATTGGTGATATGAATTATGATACAATGCTAGATGATAACAAGTGACAAACAAAACAGTTACATGAAATAACTGTAAGTTTTGGATATGTGCAACTAGTAAAATCTGCAACTAGAGTTTCTGCTACTACCTCTTCAATGACTGATTTAATCTTGACAAAAACTGTAGAAAATTGGTAGAGCAGAGGTATTGCCCATAGCACTAAGTGATCATTACCTGGTTGACTGCACTTGGGCGCAGGCTGTTTGTAGACAGAAAAGCAGTAAGCCAAATATTTCCCTGTGGATGTCACCCGAATAGTGGCCCATGTTCTGGAAACATGTATCAAGAACATTTCCTGACAGTTTTAATCTTTTACCATTAAGCATAAAAATGTTATGATCGAACTAAGAATTATCTTTTTATTTCTTTGCTTTTGTAATTTGACATTGAGCAAACACGTGAACCAAAGGTCACCAAAATCCTACGTGCAAGCAGATTTCATACAGAAATATCTGATAAATCCATCTGACCAACTTACATCTCCATAAATAAAGCAAGCAATTGGCAAAATAGTATTTTAGAATGATCCCTCTAAACCATTCATATTCAAGTTCCAATAGTGGCATTCTATCAGCTATCAGCTATGTAACGTTATATCTTAAAGCCCCTCTGCATTAGTTTGGCATGGAGGGATTAGACCTCCCTGCACGGTCACTGACATGGGGTTATCTCATCAAATCAGCTCTCAATTGAAATTAAGAAAAGGGGCATCAATTGAAATTAAGAAAAGGGGCATCAAGGGGGATCAACAGGTACCGCTTAGGCATTGTTGGCTGTATAAAGGGCGCAAGTAGCTATAAGTAGTGCAGTGGGGCATTAATTCTTTGCTTGTGATGCTTCACCATCCTCCATCTCCTCTTCTTCATCCTCCTCCTCCTCACTGGATGTTACATCAGGATCGTCACACTGGAGTCTGCACTTTGGGCAGTCACACATAAAGAGGTAGTTCTCCCTGAGCAGAAAAAAAAAATTGAAAAATATATAAAATTTATCATCATCAGTGGGAGTGTCGTGGCCGAGTGGTTTAAGGCGCTTGACTGGAGATGAGAAGGTCGAGGGTTCAAATCCCTACACGGCACCAATATCCTTTGGCAAGATATTAACCTGCACTTGCTACTCTCCACCCAGGTGTTAAATGGGTATCCGGTAGGATGCAACCTTCATTGTTGGTCAAACAATTTTTTAACGTCAAGTAACGCCTGGCTGGAATGCTCCCCAGGGATAGAAATTGTGCACACAGTGTTTGCGGGCAAGTATTGAATCCAATGACCGGGGTAATAGTACATCTGTAAAGTGCTTAGAGACATTTGTATTAAGTGCTATATAAAAGCGAAATATTATTATTATTATTATAATACTTACTTCTGAGCTTCAAATTGATAATAAACCTCATAGGCCATAACAAATTTACCCCAAACAAATTTCACATATAAACGAAAATTGGAAAGGAAAGTTTTTAATCAAATTGATGTTTTAAATTGTTCACCTCGACACAAACATCATTCTGTGGCATTAAACTTCATCATACCTAAAACTAATTTTTAATAACAAAGATAAGCATCCTTTTGAATAAAAAAATATATTTGAAACTATATACAACTTTGAGTAGTTTAAACTGAAGAATTGTAAAGATTGATTTGGGTCCAGGTTTTGAAGTAAGGATTTTGATCATAACTGTCACAAATTGTCTGTAAGCTATTATCACTTGACCATATGTTGTACAATCGCTAGATCACATGGTGTTTAAATGCTGCACTGAAAATGTATTAGAAGCAATTATTCAGTTACTTGAATAGGACTGTTTGTAACCTTTTCATTCAAATTTACAAAAAGCTACATTAAGATTCACTTCTAATTAAGCTGGTTAGACTCACTGACAGAGTCCTTGCCCATCCATAATAATACCCTCAGGGTACATACTAAATAAGGGAGACTTCCAAGTCAAAATAAAACAACGCCAAGGGCAAATTCTCTCAAAGAGGGGGCCTGATGAGGGTAAAAAAAGAAGTAAAGCTTTTAAAGTTTCTTTGATCCCCTCAAACCACCTCCCTGTAATGCTCACAGGGCTCATTTCCTTCAATTTTGACCACAGACGAAAACATTTCTGCCGAGAAGCCTACTTACCGTAACTCTTTTTGTCTAGAATGTCTGCTCCTTTCTTTACAGCATTCATCCAGATAGCTGATTAATACTTCCTATATGAAAGAATATATATATACTAGGTGTTAAAACGATTTCATACTTTTGAACAATAACTACTAAAGAGTTATAACTCACATCAAATTCAAGTTTGAATCTTATGAAGTTACAGAAAGTAAAATTTATTTTGAGTGTTTTAAAACATTTAATTCAATCCCCCAAACACCTTGCTATCCAGTCTCATAACAGTTTTTAAAAAAAACAGGTTACAAAACCATTGACAAAACTATTGACAACACCTAATGATGATTTTTCATCTAAAATTGGGGTTCTCATTCTGTGATTTGCAATATATTCATCATACATAATTCATAACATCTATAATAATAACAATTCCGCTTTTATATAGCGCTAAGTAAATCTATGATAATAATAATAATAATACATAACATTTATTAGGCGCTTAATACTGATGTTTCTAAGCGCACAGTGTTCTGATTAAGAGAAGACTATAACCCGTAGAATTAAATTAGAAGAAAAAGCAAAAATACAAAAGTAACATAGATAAGGTAAGAAAAACAGTGGCAATCAACTAAATAAAGACAAATATGGTGCGCACCTCCATTGACCGACGCACAACTGCAATTTACAATTTGAAAAGATAGGTTTTGAGTAGAGATTTGAATTGAGATACAGAGGGGGCGCAGTGAATAAAGGCGGGCAGTTTGTTCCAGAGAGCGGGGGCAATAACTGAAAAGGCGCGGTCACCATACCGGGTGTTAGTGCGGGGTCCAGGTGTTAACAGTAATGTGGAAGATGAACGAAGTGTTCGTGACGACGTACGGGAACGTAAGGATATGAGATCGGAAAGGTAAGAGGGGGCTAAGCCATTGATAGCTTTGTAGCACAGGAGAAGAATTTTGAAGGATATGCGGTGGTGAATTTTAAGCCAATGTAGTGAGTTCAATATTGGAGTTATGTGCTCTGATTTACGCGAGAGAGTCACAAGCCGAGCAGCGCTATTCTGTACCCTTTGAAGTGGGACTAGATGTGACTGAGGGAGGCCAGAAAGAGAAGAATTACAGTAATCGATATGGGTCGAGACAAAAGCATGGACTAATTTTGAAGTTGTGGGTCGGTCAAGTAGCCTCCTGATTCTACTGATCTTATATATACCAAAGGAAGCAGACTTACAAATATTACTAATGTGTTGTTTGAAAGTAAGATTGCTGTCAATATTTAAACCAAGGTCACGCACAGAAGCACAACAACTGAGAGAGCCATCACTCATAACAAGATCAGGAAAGGGGT